TAGGGCAAGTTGAACGGTAAAAAACAATAGGATTTGCATAAAGTATTAAATTTAGAAAACTATGTTTCAGAGTTATATTGATTGTACTCTGTACTCTAAACAAACAACCATCACTGGAGTGGAGGAGTCGGGGTGGGTGGGGGGGCACGGGTCCCCTCCACAAAATATTTGGGGGTGCTGGATCCCCCCCCCCCCCCCCACATAACGTCACCGGTTTTGAACATAAAACAAGTGTATATACTTTTTCGAAAGTTGATGTGACGTTATCACTATAAGTCTATGATTGTCCCAACCCAAGTCAATTTTGGCTCCGCTGCCCCTGCTTAAGGTATATATCCAAAGTATTTTTGCATGATTGTGTATGTTTACAAGTAAGGTCATGCTGTCCTGGGCAATTTTGGCAGAGTTTTCTTCGCCTTTGATTTCAAAAACATTTGCTATCTTTGCACTCAAATGGCCAGAGCGAGAAGCCATTTTGGCTCTTGTTCACTTTTAAAACTGATGTTAAGCCTTGAGCTTAAGGATAACCCCCTTTTCTCTAACAGAGTAGAAAGGTATTCAATTTAATCTTTTCAACAATGGACTTGCTTCCTAGTAATAAACCTGAGTCTTTTGAAAAAACAGTGACCGAATAATCTTTGATGACCTTCGATTAACTTCCATTCACCACGAGAGCCAAAATTTGAGGATGTTGTTAATCAATGTCTTCACCCTACTATTAGCATATACATCGTGATGAAGGTAAGAAAATGAATTAAAATCAACCTGATCTTGTGTTTCAGAATTATACCTCAGTATGGAAAAAGAAAGTGTCGATTACAATCCCTCTAATAAAGTAGTTACTCTTGGACATTTGTTTGCTAAAGATCTTCCCAATGCATTAATCTTGCCTGAGTATCCCTCAACTTTCAACCAAACGGCGAAATTTCTTAACGATGAGAAATATTTGGTTCACGACTATCCGCCGTTTCTCAACATTGAAGTTCAGTATTTGAAGCCAATTCAGCTCTGCCCCATCGCAGGAAATGAGCTGCCCATTCTTTTGCGAAACAARCCTGGGGAATTGCTCAAGCAACACTGGAAAAAATGGCTTCCATTCCTCCCAGAGGCCAACATGTGCGATTTAACCCTGGAAGGTACTGGAGAAAGCAAGTGCTTTACCCAATTCCCACTTCAATGTCTGCCGAGAGAAAAACACGCTGTTGATCCAAATGTACATCACAGGATCCTGTCCAAAAACACAATCCCAGCAATGGGTGCAAACTGCCCTCGACACATGACCCTCGATGACTACACCGTACCGTGTATGATCAAAGCTT